GACTCTTCAAACCTTTAGGAATTGACGTCGTACACAAACCAACAAAGTCACTTCACTCAATTCTATGTCAACCAAAAGACTCAACAGCGAAAGAAGATAAAACCAACATCATCTACAAAATGAATTGTATCAACTGCGAAAATCACTACATTGGCCAAAGTGGACGTCCCCTTCATCTTCGTATCCACGAACATAAGCTAGCCGTCATGATATCCACTCCCTCATATCACTACATACAGACAACCACGGACATCAATTCGACTGGGACAACGTCCAAATATTAGACAGAGGAAACAACAAGAATGCTAGAGAATTTTTAGAAGCTTGGGTTCGATCGCCAGCCATAGATGCACTCCTTTACCTCGCTAAGCCAGTAATAGGACTGACAAGCATGTAGCTTGAAGCCCTATGTTCCACTGGGAACGTAAAGGAATAAAAAAAGACAGTACCGAGACACATTGAAGCATATCACTATATTATATAACTAAGACAGGGAATCAGTATTGCCTCTAACGAAAGAAAACTTCAGTTATTTGGTGTCTAATTGAAACTAGTTTCACTTTTCAACCATTTCCTGTGTAAATCATAGATCATAATAAAGATATTTAGCTTCTGACAGTTAAATAAACTCTTAAGGCGACAGCATGTCGAACTGTTTCCTTTCTTCGGAGAAAGATATGACAAAGCTTCCGTTTACTGTCGTTACTACCTATTTAAAATTGATATTCGATCAATTCCAGACTATTAAGTTTCAAATACACCAATTATTTATATGACTGTGTACATGGCACCATTCTAATTGTTGTGTTTAGCGATGCTTAAAATCAGTTGCCCGAAACAAACATTTCATGCACCAGCCTGTCAGACACACACTGTGTGAAGGCCAATGATACTAGAAGGCAGATAGAGAATTTTACTCACTCCCATTCATTTAGTGATGAGACACATCTATTGTGTGTGTGTGGGAGGGGGGAGCGCGAGTTCGAACTCGTATCCCACTGGTTAAAAGTTGAACTCCCGGACCAATGATCTACAGCTTTACCCAATGATACTACTCAACTGCACGAGCTGAAATAATTCAATCCATAATTTTGATATCAGTATAAAACTAACTTGGGCACTGTGGTAGAGTATAACTCCATTATGGATAAGATTTCATTTTGATAAATCACACAGTGTTATACAGTAATATTAACTGATGACCACGTTTCGAGCACAAACTATTGCTCATAATCATATCAAATTACTCACACAACTTTTTTCCTTCATTTATATACATGTTTGGAATTGACCAAACATTTGAATAAAAATCGATATAGGATAACGTACATTCAGAAATAATAATATGAGTGTTATTGATCAAATACAATCAGATGGGAAATAAGATGTCTTTATAGTCAAAATAAGTAACTTGTTAGAATGTACCTGAATTTAAATAGAATTTTAAGATTATTTTTTATCCTCCTCTGATTTGACTGGTGGTAGTAATATCTTCCATAAATATCTCTGGTATTTGCATTGAGTCATTCCTATTGCATGTGTTGGGTGTGGCCTCGATGAACCAGGACTCAGTAATCAATCTCCACCTACTTATATTACTTCTTAGAATTTTAACCCACTCCCACCCTATTGTGTGGTTGTGTGTAAATGCATGCTGAATGTACATTATCCTATATCGATTTTTATTCAAATATCTAGTCAATTTCACTCATGTATATAAATGAAAATAAAAATGTTGTGTGACTACCTTGATATGATAATGAGCAATAGTTTGTGCTCGAAACGTGGTCGCATCAGTTAATATTATTGTATAACACTGTGTGATTTATCAAAATAAAATCTTATCTATGATAGTGAATCCATATTTAATCACTTATTTTATCACATAAAAAAAGACCTTAATTTAATTTTTTTGTTTTTAATAAATATATGAGGGCTTTTTGATCACATATCTTTTTATTATATGAAAATAAAGCATCTTGAAGGTGTGTTGAGTGCATCTCTTTTATTATTATTATTACTTTTTAACAAATCATAAGGGCAACACTTGCTATCATCACAAAAGCTAAATATTAGTATAAAAAGTGTCATATTAATTCATCTTTTTGCTTTTAAATTCAAATTCAAATGAACTTTTTGCAAATAATTGAATAAAAAAACTTTTTATTGTCTATTTTTTTTTAAAACTACAAATAGCTATCGCATTAATATAATAAGACGCTAAAGTGAAAAGGTATTCAACAGAGATGAAAGCCTAAAATATAATCTGAAATTCCCATAAATCACACCTATAGTGTGGTGTACACGATTGATCATAAATATAATGGTGATAAAGTACAATAAGTGTTTAAACGTAAAATAAAATGAAAGTATATCAGTGAATATCATCACTGGTGGGGTGACCCGTCTATGAGCTTTAATAACAGTATTTTAGTGTCTTTGTCTGGTTAGCAAATTACCCACAACTTGAAGCATTATTTCAGTATAATGTCACATCGCCTATGTTGAGTGATAATATCTATCTCTAACTGTCTGTTAGTTATCATGAGTAATGTGTTTCAAATGTAAAAGGGAGTCAGTACTCATTGGGTTCCACTGGTACTTTAGTGAGAAGCTCTATTCTAGAACACCAAATCGACTCCTGTCACTCTGCCAACACTGACCATGATTTTAAGATCATCTACCGAATCCATACTAACTTGCCAGTCGCGTTTTCTTCGCTACAGACTTCTAAAGACAGCAGAGGCTTTGGCAATTCATGACTTTAAGCCAGTCAGACCTTTGTGTACAAAAGAAGTATGTACAATCCATACTCCTGCCTTGGTCGTACAGGGATAGACATTTATTTATCTGTTTATTTATGTATTTTCTTTATTTAGTTATTTTATGTACCTTTCCCTCATTATTACGATTATTATTATTACTCTCACTCTGAATTGTTTCCACTTGTCTCACTTGTTATTCTAAATCCAAAATTATTACTTTTTATTTTTACAATATTGAATTCTATTGTATCAAATTTCACACCATATTATGTAACATTTTATATTCGCCTACAAATCCTATAATTATGCACCCCT